ACTAAAATATCAAATCAAAATAATAATCCAAAAGAGGCTTGGAAGACAATCAATAACTTACTCGGTCGTTCTCCAGGTAATACTGTTGTTAATGAATTAAAATTTAATGATACAAAAATTACCTCACCTGAAGAAATTGGCAATGCTTTTAATACATATTTTACTGACATTGGCCCTAACTTAGCTAGTTCTATTGATGATACTGACATTACGTTTGATCGTTTCGTCAAACCAGCTACATCAAAAATGACACGCTTTAAGTTAGTTTCACATACTAAAGTAGTCAAGCTTCTAAATGGTTTATCCAATTCGAAAGCAACTGGTCTTGATAAAATATCTGGAAAGATCTTAAAAACTGCAGCCCCTACTATTGCCTTATCACTCACACGCATCTTTAATCATGCTATCATAACAAGCTGTTTTCCATATGAATGGAAAGCTGCTAGACTTCTACCACTTCATAAAAAGGGTCCACGAGATCTCCCAGAAAACTATAGGCCAATCTCAATCTTACCTGCAATAAGTAAAGTTATGGAAAGAATTATGTATGATCAGATCTACGAATACCTTAACGACAATTCGATCCTTTCTGAACACCAATTTGGTTTCCGCAAATCTCATTCAACTGCTTCGGCTCTTTTGGATTGCACGAACAGTTGGTACGTTAATATGGACCGCAAAATGTTTAATCTGGTTGTATTATTGGATTTAAAAAAGGCCTTTGATACTGTAAACCATGATATTTTGGTGCGAAAACTTGAGCTATACGGTATCAATGGTAGTGCCTTAACCATGATACAATCATACTTGTCTGATCGCAAACAGAAATGCCAACTGGGAGACGTAATGTCATCTGAGCGGCATGTGACATGCGGTATTCCACAGGGATCCATCCTTGGTCCACTTCTCTTCCTCTTATATATATAAATGATCTTCCAGAATGTCTTCATGAAGCTGCCCCTCGGCTATTTGCCGATGACACCAATCTTACGGTAGCTGGTGAGTCAATAGAGGAAGTTGAGTTGGCCATGAATAATGATCTCCTTAGTGTACATACCTGGCTTTTAGCCAACAAACTGAGTCTCAATGCTTCAAAAACCGAATTTATACTTATTGGTTCAAATCATAGATTAACGAACCTTACTAATCAACCAAATATAAAAATAGATCAAGACAAAATTAAGCAAGTTCATCATAGTAGATTACTTGGGGTTCAAATTGATGAAAAATTGTCTTGGAACAAGCATGTTGAAAGCGTGGCCAAGAAGGTTACTTCCGGTGTAGGAGCTTTAAGAAGAATACGTGACTTTGTCGATAGGGAAACCTTGATCTCTATCTACAATGCTTTAGTTCGCCCTCATTTCGATTATTGCAGTGAGGTATGGGATACCTTGGGCATTGGCCTTTCAACTCGACTTCAAAAACTGCAGAATAGAGCGGCGAGAATAGTAATGAGTATGACAAAAGATACCCCTGGATTAGAAGCAATTACTGCCTTAGGGTGGGAAACTCTTGAGTCTCAACGAGCTAAGTCTAAAGCAGTACAAATGTACAAAGTTTTAAATGATTTGTCCCCAAATGCACTTGTTAATCTTTTTATGCGTAAAAGTGATGTCACAGATTACGAGCTTAGGGGTTCCTCTACATCACTGCAAATCCCTTTTCCCAGGACTGAAAATATTAAGAAAAGTTTTTCTTACGATGGGGCGAAATTGTGGAATTCCTTACCTGAAGATTTGCGTGATTCGGCTACCTTGCCAATATTTAAAAGTCGAATTAGTGCTCACAATTTCTCATAATATAATGTAAATATAATTATTATGGTATAATATTAGGTTGACTATTGTAAATATGTTCATTTTTAATGTTTGTTACTATTTATAATGTAATTAACACGCCCCTCGTGGAAATCAGCGAAAGTTGACGAGGCCAGCGTGTGATTTTTAAATAAAGTTTATCATCATCATCATCATCATCACGGATCGACAACATTTTTGAGGCCTCCCTTAGCCACTCGAACACTTGAGCACTACATTCACGGATCGACAATTCATATTTTCCGATCGTGAATTCCCAGTCCATCCGTTACCAATCGTACGGATCGACAACATTTTTGAGGCCTCCTTTAGACACTCGAACGCTTGAGCACCCAATTCACGGGTCGACATTTCATATTTTCCGATCGTGAATTCCCAGTCCGTCCGTTACCAATCGTACGGATCGACAACATTTTTGAGGCCTCCCTTAGCCACTCAAGAGCTTGAGCACTAGATTCACGGATCGACAAATCCTATTCTCGATCGGAATTTCCAGTCCATCGGTTACCAATCGTACGGATCGACAACATTTTTGAGGTCTCCCTTAGCCACTCGAACGCTTGAGCACTAGATTCACGGATCGACAAATCGTATTCTCGATCGGAATTCCCAGTCCATCCGTTACCAATCGTACGGATCGACAACATTTTTAGGTCTCCCTTAGCCACTCGAACGCTTGAGTCGCTTATCGATTCACATTTCATATTTTCCGATCGTGAATACCCAGTCCATCGGTTACCAATGGTACGGATCGACAACATTTTGGAGGCCTCCCTTAGCCACTCGAACGCTTGAGCACTAGATTCACAGATCGACAAATCATATTTTCCGATCGTGAATTCCCAGTCCATCCGTTACCAATCGTACGGATCGACAACATTTTTGAGGCTTTCCTTAGCCACTCAAGAGCTTGAGCACTAGATTCACGGATCGACAAATCATATTTTCCGATCGTGAATTCCCAGTCCATCCGTTACCAATCGTACGGATCAACAACATTTTTGAGACCTCCTTTAGCCACAGACAAGCTTTAGCATTAGATTCACGGAGCGACGTTTCATATTTTCCGATCGTGAATTCCCAGTCAATCGTTAACAATCGTACGGATCGACAACATTTTTGAAGTCTCCCTTAGCCACTCGAACGCTTGAGCGCTAGATTCACGGATCGACATTTCATATTTTCCGATCGTGAATTCCCATGCAGTCCATTCGTTACCAATCGTACGGATCGACAACATTTTTGAGACCTCCTTTAGCCACAGACAAGCTTTAGCACTAGATTCAGGTATCGACATTTCATATTTTCCGATCGTGAAATCCCAGTCAATCCGTTACCAATCGTGCGGATCGACAACATTTTTGAGACCTCCTTTAGCCACAGACAAGCTTTAGCACTAGATTCAGGTATCGACATTTCATATTTTCCGATCGTGAAATCCCAGTCAATCCGTTACCAATCGTGCGGATCGACAACATTTTTGAGACCTCCTTTAGCCACAGACAAGCTTTAGCACTAGATTCAGGTATCGACATTTCATATTTTCCGATCGTGAAATCCCAGTCAATCCGTTACCAATCGTGCGGATCGACAACATTTTTGAGACCTCCTTTAGCCACAGACAAGCTTTAGCACTAGATTCAGGTATCGACATTTCATATTTTCCGATCGTGAAATCCCAGTCAATCCGTTACCAATCGTGCGGATCGACAACATTTTTGAGACCTCCTTTAGCCACAGACAAGCTTTAGCACTAGATTCAGGTATCGACATTTCATATTTTCCGATCGTGAAATCCCAGTCAATCCGTTACCAATCGTGCGGATCGACAACATTTTTGAGACCTCCTTTAGCCACAGACAAGCTTTAGCACTAGATTCAGGTATCGACATTTCATATTTTCCGATCGTGAAATCCCAGTCAATCCGTTACCAATCGTGCGGATCGACAACATTTTTGAGACCTCCTTTAGCCACAGACAAGCTTTAGCACTAGATTCAGGTATCGACATTTCATATTTT